AAATTAGATAACGATCAGATATAGTTAATTGTGTGCTCAGACATGTGTGTCGGACCAGGCGTTACAACAAAGAGCGTTATGCAATTACGTTTTGCTTTTTTTTTCCCTCTACAGCTTTTGTTTATTGCCCGCACGCCCACGCTTTCTGCGTTGTTATTGTTTCTTCATTTATTCGACTATTTTCGGAAGTATACATATGTTTTTATTTATATATATATATCTATATGTGTTTATAATGCAATAATTATTATGATTAGTTTGTCGAAACTAATGATTCGATGCTGACACGGCCCATTGGGTTTTTCCATCATTCCCGTGCATATGGCTTTTTCACGGCTCGCCGATCGCCACCGCGGAAAAAGCAACGCAATTTTCGATTGTCAATATTGTGTGAAACATACACGTACATACAAATAACAAACGAAACAAAAAAAAAAACAAACAACGGAAAGCAATCGACGAACAAAAAAAAAGAGCGTCGAATTATTACGACTAGATTAGTTATGCTCGTCTTCGGATTATCCGTATAATTGATTTCGTCGCCAAGAGCTTATAGTGATTGCAACGTGATTCCAGTTTCAAGACGTTTTCCATAAATTTTCTCAGTGAAAACTAAACTTTTCAATGTTCTGTTAAAGATTAAAGACACATTTAAAAGTCTTAGAAAGTGCTTAAATTTATTCTTAGATAATTAATAATTAATTGATTTTCTTCAATCGTTTCAGAAAATTTCAAGAAAATACTTTGATTATTTCTTTAACTCAAAATTAAAGATATATTTTTAATTATCTTAAAATGAGTCTAAATATGTTCTTTAAATCTCGTTCAGATTCAGTTTTTAATCATTTATTGATGTTCTTCAATCGTTTCAGTGGATTTTAAGAAAAAATCCTTTCTTTATTTATTTAAGTCTTGAAAGTAACTAAATATATTCTTAAAACTTTACAATTTCAGTTTTTATCAATTGTTTCAGTAGTTTCAAGATGAAAACAAAAAATACTCTTTTAATTTAGTGAATAATAAAGATACATTTCTGAAAGTTCTGAAAAGTAACTAAATATATTCTTAAACCTTCACAGTTTCAGTTTTTATCAATTGTTTCAGAAGTTTTAATATCAAAACAAAGAAAACTCTTTTAATTAAGTCAAGATTAAAGATACATTTCTAAAAATCTTAAAAAGTGACTAAATACATTCTTAAACCTTTACAGTTTCAGTTTTTATCAACTGTTTCAGTAGTTTCAAGATGCAAACAAAAAAAACTCTTTTAATTTAGTAAAGATTAAAGATACATTTCTAAAAGTTTTGAAAAGTAACTAAATATATTCTTAAACCTTTACAGTTTCAATTTTTATCAATTGTTTCAGTAGTTTCAAGATACAAACAAAAAAACTCTTTTAATTTAGTAAAGATTAAAGATACATTTCTGAAAGTCTTAAAAAGTGACTAAATTTATTCTTAAACCTTTACAGTTTCAGTTTTTTTCAATTGTTTCAGTAGTTTCAAGATCAAAACAAAGTAAACTCTTTTAATTTAGTCAAAGATTAAAGATACATTTCTATAAGTCTTGAAAAGTAACTAAATATATTCTTAAACCTTTACAATTTCAGTTTTTATCAATTGTTTCAGTAGTTTCAAGATGAAAACAAAGAAAACTCTTTTAATTTAGTCAAGATTAAAGATGCATTTCTGAAAGTCTTGAAAAGTAACTAAATATATTCTTAAACCTTTACAGTTTCAGTTTTTATCAATTCTTTCAGTAATTTCTAGATACAAAGAAAGAAAACTCTTTTAATTTAGTCAAGATTAAAGATATATTTCTGAAAGTTCTGAAAATTAACTAAATATATTCTTAAACCTTTACAGTTTTAGTTTTCATCAACTGTTTCAGTAATTTCAAAATACAAACAAAGAAAACTCTTTTAATTTTGTCAAGATTGAAAACATATTTCTGAAAGTCTTGAAAAGTAACTAAATATATTCTTAAACCTTTACAGTTTCAGTTTTTATCAATTGTTTCAGTAGTTTCAAGATACAAAGAAAGAAAACTCTTTTAAATTAGTCAAGATTAAAGATACATTTCTAAAAATCTTAAAAAATGACTAAATATATTCTTAAAACTCTATAGTTTCAGTTTTTATCAATTGTTTCAGTAGTTTCAAGATGCAAACAAAGAAAACTCTTTTAATTTAGTCAAGATTAAAGATACATTTCTGAAAGTCTTGAAAAGTGACTAAATACATTCTAAAATATTTACAATTTCAGTTTTTATCAATTGTTTCAGTAGTTTCAAGATACAAACAAAGAAAACTCTTTTAGACAAGATTGAAGATACATTTCAGAAAGTTCTGAAAAGTGTCTCAAATTATTCTTAAAACTTTACAGTTTCATGTTTTATCAATTTATTGACATTTTTTCAATTGTTTCAGTAAATTTAAAGAGAAAACAAACTTTGAACTTAGTCAAGATTGAAGATATATTTCTGAAATTTGATAGATGACCAAACATACGCAATAATTATAAAACGGTAGAAAATATAAGCTTTATTATTCATTTCGGATCACATTTGGATTTAGTCTGCGCCTGTAACAGATCATAGGAAATCGTCTTTCCGCGATGCTTCTTCACCGTCACCTGAACTATGTAGCTTCTACCCGGCTTCAGCTGACCAATCTTTTGCGTAATAACTTTCCTGGAAACGAAAAAAAAAAGACATAATAAATGAATTATGTTTAGATTTACAAAATGTGAATCTTACCCTTCGATTGGTTTAATATCTTTGCAGTATTTAGCGGCGAAATCCGTCGACTTCTTGAGGCGATTCTCCAAACCGCATTGATTCGTCTGCTTGAAACCGTACCGAAGTTTACCTTCTTTGATAACCAGACAATAGTGAGAGGTTTTCTGTCCAGGCGATGGAAGCCATCCGACCGTCACAGAATCGCAACTCCTCAGTGAAACGTATTCTTTGACTATTGGTTTATTTGGTAAATCCGGTAAAGGGATGAAGGATTTCTTCCTGGACGTTGCATACAACTGAATCAAACATTAAAATTATATAAGATTAGGTAATAATAGATTTCTTTTCATAATACTTCAATGCCTGAAGTTCTCCGCAATTCCTCGCCGTTCGTGCTGAAGATCTTGATGTTATACCTCGCTCCACTCTGCGGATTCTTCACGCTAATCTTACCAAAACCTTCTATCGTTCTTCTAGTCTCAATAACTTCGTGCCTTTTCGTCACTTGAACGTCGACCGCTCCGCCGCACGGCATCACGTACACCTCTAAATCGTCGTGCGATTTCCTTCCTACCTAAGTCAAAAGAAACCAAATGGATCATCTCATCATTACATAACAATAAACTTACCTTAAACCTAAACACGGCTTTTCCATCCATCTCCTTGAGATTAACGAAAGTCAACTTTCCATCTTTCAGAGATGCCGGCTTCAATTTGTTGGAGAGCATCGTCGTGTTCGAAGCGAAGAGATACGTGAAATTCGTCTGCAAGTTTATGGCGAACAGATCGAAATAGTAACGCAGATTCTGTTGCGGTTTGAGGAAGGCGTAATGCGTTTTCTTTCCGGTGCAAATAATCATCGGATCAACATCTGCAAAGATATTTTTATTTATAAAAAAAAAAACAAAGAAATTTTTAAGTTTATAATTACCGCATTTTGGTAGATTTTCGGAAGCTGCGTTTGTCCGGTTTTCCGGTTCCGGTTTAAGTAGATTTCCGGCTCCGCAGAACGTCTCGTGATGCTTCAGACTGCTTATTACAAGGCAATATTCGGTACCTTGAGGATCCACTAAACTGAAAATTTATTTGTTTATTCATTAATTTGGTTAAGATTTATAGGTTAGGTTCTTAGAGGTTACGTTTATTTAAGTTACTTTAGAAAAATATATGTAAACAAAATTTAAACTGTGCAGATTTCCAGTATTGAATTGAAGGTTCCACAAGGAAACGTACTTTGTCCTATTCAGTAAAATTATGTTAATAACCACAAATAGATGCTTTTTCTAAGATAAATCATGCGGAGCAAATGAAATTAGCGACGAACTTAATGTTAAATATTGTTGTTGTTGTTCTTGACACGATTCCGTAGTAAATCCGTCTCGACACCAAAAATACGCGGAAAACAAACAAAAACGTCGACGGATGTGTATCGGTTTCGAATCGAGGAGCGTCGCGTTTCGCAACGGGACGTATTTTTATGAAGAAGTCGAACCGTTTTTCTTTCTGTGGAAAGAGTTTCCAGTTCCTCGTAACTGTTTCGATCGAGACGCTTTAGGAAGAAGCGCATTTTCTACTTTTGTTTCCTCCTTTTCCGAACAACTTAACTACATTATTGTATTTATCCTCGATTAATAGACATTTTATATTGAGACTGAACAAGTAGTAACGTTTAGATACATTTGTAAAGTTGTTATGGTAACCGCAAAATCAATTACGCAATTACTCTTTCTTACTGGTTACCTAGGTTACAGCAAAATTGTGCACGTCGTTAATGCAAATTAGCCCACCCGTCTGTTATTCGTTTTCTTTAAACTGTTTACCTCGGGTCCCATTTGATGGCCAACCTATTGTTTCGTTGCCGGCGCAGTAGCAATTTCCGGTTTTCTCTTCCCTTCAGCGCTTCTGGTCCATCGGATTCCGTGCTTATGTAAACGTGAGCGTAAGTGTCTTCGTCGATCGCACGCAATAGGAAATTGTAGGTGCCCAGCTGCGATCGGAGACCGAGTATTTGCATGCCTTCGGACGTCTTCTCCGTCAGCGCAGATCCAGAATCTGAAAACAACAACAACAACAATGAAACAATCATCAAAATCATTTAAACAAAATGTGTGTACCGTTTAGGGTAATTTTCCAATCGACGCGGGAACTGCAGCCTGTTACAATAGCGGATAGTTGCAGGTTTTCCTTCAGAGAATGATATACAAAACTGAAAGTAAAAACGCGCATTAGAACCAAAACGTATGAAACAGTAATATATGAATGCATTCCTCAAACATCCAGCTTTCATATGCATCTTTTGGATCCATTCTACCTTTTATAGTTTTGGAGTAAATCAATGAAATGTAAATACACTGCTTTTTTTAACGTTTTTTCAAATTTAAACACCAATTACAGCCAAACTGATAAAACCACAACAATATATGAATACTCGTTACAATCCCCAATCATTCAGCTTTCATAGGCATCTTTTGGATCCATTCTATCTTTTATAGTTTTCGAGAAAATCAATGAAATGTAAATAGACTGCTTTTTTTAACGATTTTTCAAATTTAAACACCAATTACAGCCAAAAGGATGAAACCACAATAATATATGAATACTTGTTACAATCCCCAATCATTCAGCTTTCATATGCATTTTTTGGA